CCCCAAATGTGAAAATAAAATAAACAAGAAATTAAAAATTCAATACGTCAATAAATTAAACAATTTAAAAAATGAATGCATTAATGAATAAAAGAATAACAACAACAATGTCACCAACAGCAACAACAACAATTACTGTGAAAACAACAACAAAAGTCCATACAAGCGCGAGAATGAAAAACTATTACAGACTCCGGAGCCCTCAAAATGCGTCTGATACATAATAACACATTATATACAACAACAACAATAGAAACAACACCATCTCCACAACCACCCTTTAGCACCATCACAACAACCATCACCACCATCACCACGCCACCACCAACACCACCACTTCCACCACTATCTCCACCACTATCACCAACACCACCACCAACACCACCACCAACACCACCACCAACACCACCACCTCCACCACTATCACCTCTTCCACCATCACTACTGCCACCACCAACACCACCGTCAACACCATACCACCATCACCAACACCACGGACGCCACCACTATCACCACAACAACAGCAGCAACAACAACAGACAAAAATAACAACAACAACAACAAAACAAACAACACCACTCACCCAGACCGCATGAGGTGCTACACAAAGACCAGTCGGACCAGGTGGACACGAGACAGTCGTTGTCACAGGGAATCTCACAGGACACCACCAGTGGCTCTGTCACAGGGCCGAACAGCTGAAACACAGTCAAGGATTATTAATTGTCACAAGTACTTTTCAACACTCTTACGACGTTATCAAGTAGAAATTATCAGAATTCAGATAATCTTTCTTTCCAAGTGGATTTGTTTGTGTTTCTGAAGTCACTTCTCTATTTGTCGATGTAAATGTCTGATTATAAACTGTAAAGTAGTCACGATTTCTTTTTGTTTTAAATTAGAATATGTAAAATCAAGGAAAAATATATCAACTAAAGTTTATGTGGTCACCTACCTGCTCACATCTAAAAGAAAAATTCATATTCTCTCCTCTAAATACACACTACAAAACAAACAATCAAATGCACTAAGAAAAAGAACAACAACAATAAACGTTCTAACGAAACATACATTTGAGTCAAGTAAGTATTCTCATACCACTTCTTCCTACTAAACTGTACCCTCGCAAAAATAAATAACCACAGCAAATAAACAATTCACATAATAAAAAAAAATATGTGAATACTAAGCAGACACCCACTTCTTCCACTGCATACAATTCTCCAAGCTGTGTCTATGTGGGTGTAAAACGTCTAAAATTACAAGAAGAGACATGCAGAGAAATGAAGAAGTGAGAGCGACTATTGATTGTGAGTCCCGCCTGCATTTCATAAGAATAAAATCTAGAATAAAATGATTTGGCCACCTGTTACGAATGACACCTTGCCAGCCAGCATGAGAGCCTTTTACACCAAGTATTCAGTCTATAAAGAAAGAGATAAACTATTCAAAAGATGAGTTGAGGGAGTTAAAGTAACTCCGAGAAATTACAACATCTCAAATGAAAGAGCTGCACAGCTGGCCTACCGTAAAAACCTGCTTCTCCCCTCGACGCTTAACAGCAACAGAGGAGGAAAAGGTAAACGTAAAAGTAAGTACCCACCTCTTCACACTTATATGACTCCACCTTCTCCCCTCTCTCGTTGCCACAGATGGCGTATCTTTCCTTGTGACCCACGCCACACTCCGCCCCTCCGCCATTGACCAGGCAGCTCGTCCAATCAGAGAGCTCCCATGAGTACTCAATGCAGTTTTTCATCCTCTCACAGGACCGCTCTTCCGTCTTGGTGTCGCAGGCGAGTGATGACGCGTACTGGGCGGGCCTTCGGAGTACCTGGCGATGCCGGGTTTGAGTCTGTTGCCCGTTACACGGCTGTGGACAGAAGGTAAGACAGCAAATGTTTCCACTGGTTACAAAATAACTGTTTTAGTCTTCATATCGCCCTCGATAATGTAACATATATTTTAATCCTGTGGCAATAGTTAAATAATTTTACGTTGATATCCAAAATTTATGCTAAATTAAATTTCCATATCTTATTTAACTAATAAAATTTAATCATAATTACTCCTTCCCCCTCCAGAAAACACACACTCCAACCTCATGAAGTACCAGATCTGCCACAGACGTAGGCGATAGTGGTTCTGCATTCAATCCTTTGCTTGGAGGCTCTAAAGAAAAACGTCTACATTATCCAGATATTTAACCGTCATCCATCTGTTTAAACTTTCTAAGTAGGTTGTTCTGGGTCCATCCCTGTCTCGTGTGCCTTCAATTTTGTCAGAGAGAGCCAGAAGTACACTAGCATACAGGATATCACCACCACCAACGGCAGACAAACATGTTTTTAAAAAAACAGTATTAACAACAGAAATATAACAACAACAGCTACAACAACAACTACAGCAACAACAAAAAAAGAACAATAACAACAGCATCAAAAACAACAACTACCACATAAACAACAACAATAATAACAACAACAGCAACAACAACAACAGCAACAGCAGCAGCAGCAGCAGCAGCAGCAGCAACACAGCAGTAGCATCAGCAACAACAACATCACCACCAACAACACCACCACCAACAACAGCAACAAACCTGTCGACACAGCGTCCACTCCGACCACTCAGACATGACACAGTCCCCGGGACAAGGGAGAGAACAGGCCTTGGTAGGCACAGGCTGGTCAGTCCTCGGGCAGTACGACTCGTCCACCGTCATCTCACTGGAGTCACTCCCCACAGACACACATCTGAAAGGTAAATAGTTTGGGTTTTGTTATAGTTTGGAGCCCAACAAGACATATGTTTATGAAAGTTTCTTACGCATGTTTTTTATCGGGGGGGGGGGGGGGCATTGTTCATGCATTCATTCATTCTTTCATTCATTCATTCATTCATTCATTCAATCGTTCATTCATTCATTCATTCATTCGTTCGTTCGTTTGTTCGTTCGTTAGCCCGTTCGCTCGCTCGCTCGTTCATTCATTCATTCATTCATTCATTCATTCATTCATTCATTCATTCATTCTTGTTAGAGGCAGCCCCAGTCCATCGACATATCGGGATAAGAAAGAGCTCGGCAAAAAGAAAAGAAATAAAGCAAACGTTGCTAACAATATGTACATATCGGTACAACACACCCGCCAAACACTCACACACAATTTTCATAATCAATCAAATTATTCACCTGAGGGTGGAAGGTTAGTGGGTGTTTTAGTGCGGTTAGCTCCTTTCTTATCAAACACCTATCGTCTTTGTCTCCCCTCCTTCTTTGTTTTGGGTTTTTAACTCTCTTTTAACACATCTAACCTTCAGCACTAATATAACCGCATTGTGTTGCAAGTGCCGTAAAACTCTGACCTAACTAAAAATATATACAGAAAGAAAGAAAAAAAGAAAGAAATATTTTTTAAAAACACATTAATGGTAATAATGATAATAAGAATAAATATTATTAAGAATAAGAATAAGAACAAGAATATTATTATTAAGAATAAGAAAAAGTATAATAAAACCCTGACCTGATGGTGCGACTGTGTGACCCGTCCCCACACGGCTGTCCCCCGGAAGGCAAACACGGACCCCAGTCCTCCACCCGCCACACGTAATAGCTACAGTCCACATGACACACGCGGGCCTGGGTCTCCTGAGAAGTACAGCATTTGACGGCCATTTTCAGCATAACACAGGAGTAATCAGCATCATCAACATCAACATCAACATCATCATCATCATCATCATCATCATCATCATCATCATCATCATCATCATCATCATCATCATCATCCTCATCATCATCATCATCATCTTTGTTTAAAAAGCAGAGTAGGTAAGGAGAGTCTTGGTTCATTTACAGACAAAATGTATAGATAAAAACATGTTAACAATTTGGTTTATTACATCGGCTCAACGTTTCGCCACGTAGGCTTCCCAGGAGCATCTGAATCGTGGGTCAACTGTTCTGTCGTAATGTGGCACTAGACTAACAGTGGATGCTCTCGTTGTCAAGAGGTTACGGTGTTTGCCTCTCATCCAATAGGTCCCGGGTTCGAATCCGGATAGAGACGGAAAATGTTCTTCTCTAAAATCGTTTTCTTTCGCCTTCTTCCCTGCTCTCTAACAATGTTCTGTTCTCTGGTCTCCACTTTTTGACACCACCCCTCACCTCCTTTGTCCCCACCTCTGGGCTCCTGAATCTTTCTGCCGCCTTTAAAATTCTACTACTACTCCTTGGCTCCTTCTTACTGCTTCTTTCAGCCACATCCCTGATCTTATGGTAGGTAAGATCTAACATCTAGCCTTCTCGGATAAGGGCGTAAAATCTCAGAGGTTCCGTGTCCAAGCTGCACACGTTAAAGATTCATTAGTTGCCTAAACTCGATAAAAGAAGGCTTCGCCGCTACCCGGGCAAAATTCAAAATTTCTTACCAACTGAAAATGTCTAATTTGTCCCGTACGCTCAAATGACCTTATGCAGTTGTGAGTGTCGTAAAAAACTTACCAAAAAGGTGGAAAAATACTAACTGTTCGACCTACCTTGCTCTGTCCGTACATAAGCGGACATTTCCTGCCCCCGTTGGCTGGGTGTCGCTCTATCCTGCGGTCTCTCTGCTGGACACCCGAGCCACAGCGCGAGCTACAGGCAGTCCAGGCTGACCAGTCGCTCATGGCGCAGTCCACAGGACACGCAATGCTGCAGTTCTCTTTGAGGTACTCTGGGGAAGCGAATAATATATAATAAGAAAGTTTATCCAACTAACCATAATAAAAAATTTTAGAAAGGTGAACGCATCACTTTAGAAAAGGGAAATACACTGGAATGTGAGGCAAGTTGTGATGTTTTTAATCATTACACATCGCTTGTTAATTTACCGTATTTATCATTCTAGCAGCTCAAGGTAGCTAACAATGTCTATAACTTCTCTTCTGTCTTGGGTGCTAAAGGTCAAATTAAAATATATACAAAATACCCCCCTCCCCCTCTCCCTTTAAACATTCCCTAAACTCAGTCCTATGAAATTCAATGTAAAATGTTTACACAATTTTTGCTTTGCAACCCAACTAGCAGACAATTCTGTCCACATCCCTGTCACTCAATGGCCCTCCAAGTTGAGTTCATTATCCTTCTCGGCCCCAGTGTAATATACACCCAACTTATCGCCATAATATGCACCTTGATGCTTTTTATAAAACATATTTCCATGAACATTGATTGTCAAGAAGGTGTCCATTTGTTACTTAGAGTTATGAATATTATTTTAAAAGTATTGTTTCTAAGCGTGATATGTAGCAAACTTCGACTTGGGACCTAAACACATATTGCTATTCTTGTAAAACACGTAAACATTCATCTCACCTTCCCCAGCACACCGTGGTCCGTTCGGAGTGTACAGGTCGTGTGATTTACAGGACAATGCCATGTACTTTTTGCCCACGCCACAGTCAGAGTACGGTTCAAATCCACCCAATCCAGTCTCGTTATTCCGTCGATGTCTGCCGCCAATACTTTTCAAGGACATTTTTGGAGCGAACCTGTCGCCCTGTTAAAATGAAGTCATAACGTAAGATATGATGAGTAACATTTAAGCTTTGGCACGTTGGACTGATCTACCATTTAATAATTTTGTCCATTAGCCAGTCGGTCCGTAAATCAAATAACATATTAAGAGCATACTGAAATAAAAGAAATAATTATAATAACGATGCCAAATCATAATCCCCAAATTATTGAGTGATTGCTTTTAAAACGGAATTTATTTCTAACTGTACTATCAACAACAGGCAAACTAAACCCTTTTAAATTGAGAGTGCAGCAGAAAAAAAGCAAAGCACAACATGTTTTGAGCTTTAGCATTTGACTCTAAGCAAACTTAACATGTGACTTGGATCGTTCTTCCATGTTGCTTTCAAATCAAAGATGCAATGGATCCTAAATTATGCATAAACCAGTAAAATTAAAACAGTTCATAGCGTCACTTAAGATGACAGATAGAAGTGACTGTTGTAGACTGGTTGCCGTTATGGATAGGGTGTGAATCCTGGTCTCTTACTTGACTTTACAAAATCAAACACATTATTATTATGGTTTTAAATCTGAAATCTTAAAGTTACCTTTCCACCACATTTCCAGAAAATCGTAAACGATCCAAAGAGCTTTGCATTTATTGAATGCACGTAATCAGTCTGGGGACATGTCGGCAGATAGCTATTAGCAGGTTTCAAGGCCAGCTTGTGCTAAAATGACTGACAAGTGTCGATATATAGACGTCTCAAAGATGAACAGACGAAAGCCTTTAGCATTACATCACAGACGCTGACCCTTGAGCGTAATAATAAGTACTTATAGAAAAACACAAATGTGCCACGGAGCTGAGATAGTACAGATGACGGTATGGAAAGACAACTGGTCAGGCAGGTTCGACTGTATTCACCCCTTCCCCACACTGTACTCCACACTATACTCACCCCTTCCACACTTTGTACTCACCCCTTCCGCACTCTGTACTCACCCCTTGCCCCGTGCTCTGTACTCACACCTTTTCCACACAATACTCACCCCTCTCCTATACTGTACTCCCCCCTGTATCACCCCTTCTCCACAAGGTACTCACCCCATCCCCATTCTGTACTCACCCCTCCCCCACACGGTACTCACCCCTTCTCCACACTATACGCACCCCTTCACCACTCTGTACTCACCCCATCCCCATTCTGTACTCACCATTCCCCCATACGGTACTCATCCCTTCTCCACACTATACTCACCCTTCACCACTCTGTACTCACCCCTCCCCCATACTATACTCACCCCTTCCCCAATCTGTGCTCACCCATTCTCCACACTATACTCACCTCTACTTTACACAGTACTCATCCCTTCACCACTCTGTACTCACCCCTCCCCCATACTATACTCACCCCTTCCCCAATCTGTACTCACCCCTTCTCCACACTATACTCACCCCTTCCCCAATCTGTACTCACCCCTCCTCCACACAGTACTCACTCCTCCTCCACACAGTACTCACCCTTCCCCTTCTGTGTACTCACCCCATCCCCGCTTTGAATGATGCAGTCTGACCAGCCGCCAACCAGGATGGGCTTCCGCTCGTTACACACGCACTCCTCGTGCTGGTCACGTGGGTACAGGTCGGTGTTACGGCAGTCCGGGTTGTCCTTGCTGGGGCCTGGACACGATGGTGATGATATTTTCATTGATAATAATGATAAGAAAACTGATAATGATAATGATATTTTCTTTGATAATGATAATGATAATGGTATTTACATTGATAATGATGATGACAAGAATAATGATACTGATAATGATTGTTTATGTTAGTAGAGGTTTAACGGACGCTCGCTACTGCAAAAAAGTCATATGAGCGCCTAGGGGTGGATGTCAACAGATAAGTTCTTACAGAGAATAAGGCATACTCTGCTCACCTTTCGAGCTTCAACATCACAAAGTCTGTTCGACTATCAAGGCAACACAGAAATAGCGGGCCACAAGAGTGTGGCAAACATAAAAGAACTGTTGCAGTTCAGGCACAGTTATGAGCATGACATTGATGAATCAGCCAATTTACAATTAAAATTCTACTGTGCATAAGAACATGGTTAATGTCCCCCTTTGGGAAAGGCCTAAAGACACTTCAGTCAGTAGCATCGCCCCAAGGGGTATAATGGTAATGATAATGATAGTGATAATGATAAAGATAATGATAACGACAATGACAATGATAATGATAATGGTAATGGTAATGACAAAGATAATGATAATGATAATGATATGATAAACTTTAATCGCTTTTGTTCTTATGTTCATTCTATCTCTATGCAGTCATTTAAGTGAACATTTATTTTTTTTAATGTACCAACGAATCACTTTAAACAGACGCATTGAGAGCCATACCTATAAGTCGTCGAAACCGGAACCTGGTCTTCTCACACCTTGGTCCACACTGAGTCCAGGGCGACCACTGGGACAACTGGCACTCGGAGCGGCACGGCCTGGGGAATGGCGAAGAGCGGGTTTTGTTTGTTTGTTTGTTTTGTTTGATTTTCCTAAAAAGTGATTTCTTATCCTTTATACCTTATCCCAAAGAGTACCCTTTCATTGATGATAATGATAAGAAAAATGATAATGATAATGATATTTTCTTTGATAATGTAAACGACATTTTTCTGATTTGCAATACTTTGTCTTGTTATGCCTTGCTTGGTGTGTATTGTTTCAAATTGTTTTGTCTCGAGGCAGAACTTAGATGGAAGGTCGCAAATACTTGATTTACGACAAGTTTAAATCAAGATCGTCTATACAAGAAACTGACAAATAGACTGGATGTTTAACACGGAAACATACAAAGAATGACATTGAGAATAAGAGAAACATAATATGACCTAGATATAATATAGTGAATCAGTGTAAGAACAATAGGAATGCGAAATGAAAGAAACATATAAGTCTGATCAGTATCCATTTTTGGACAGTGATGTAAATGATTTTCACCCACATTACGCCACTCTCAGACTTAATGAGAAATTCACCTGTAACAATGATCTGTTATGTCCGGCATCGTTCCAAGGTTCTCCAGACACACGTTGATAGACACCTGAGAGGTCCTCTGGTCGTCAGAGTGGATACAAGTCACGTCTGAGAAATAACCAAAATAGATGGTGTAAAGGACTTGACACTTCATGACAGCTTTCGGGCAAGTACTATGTCCCGATCCTTTTTTATTTATATTGACTGTTTTGTATACTATTATAGCAGGTACTTAAAATATTATTTTTAAACTACACAAAAAAGAATCCCCCCCCCACCTTAAAAAAACCCCAAAACCAACGACAACAACCCAAGAGCAGCAAGCAAAATGTGATTTCAGTAACCAAGTATATTAAACAGCAGATTCTGTAAGTGCTGCCAAAGATGCAATGAAAATCAAAACAAAAAGAAAACAACTCTTTTTAAAGAAATCTGTTTTTTCATTAAGACTTAAACAGATTTCCTAAATTACATTAGAACATACATAATTTAAAAAAAAACTACAGTAAAAAAATAATTGATTAAAAGGAACACAAACAAATAAGCTGCGGGTACTAACTTCTTGCGCGGAGACCCTGTCCACAGAGCGGCACTACGGGCGGAAGAATACAGTCACTCCAGTCTGTGGTCTCCCAATAGTAATTCTGGCACACCGGAAGGTCGATGCACGACTGCTCTTCGCGCATGTCACTAGGGCAGGAAAGGCCCCCATTTTGAGGATACTGTAGCACATAGCGGCGCCTCACCTGAGCCGGATAGATCTGACGGGCTGTTGGCAAAAAGAGAATGATGTGTAGATTAAGTGTGTGTATAGTTTACTCCCCGAATTGACACATTTAAAATCATTTAGGAAGTGGGCTTCTTCGATCCTTCCTAGCTGTCGGGGCTACCCGGCATGAGTGTAACAAAACATCCTGACTGACAGACGGTAATATTGGGTTTTTTAAAAGTTTAAAATAAATTCCTTTTCAGGAACAGAATTTATGTGTTCTTATTCTGATGATCAAGAGCCATATTTTTTCATCAGAAAGATTAAGACTGCACAATTTAATCACTGCATTAAAAAAAAAGGAAAGACAATAAATTAATGACAGACCAAAAAATTAAATAAATCGTTGACATGGGCAAGAGACTTCCCCAACCCACAGCCCACTTTCACAACTCCATCAATTTATCATGCTATTTTGGTCGCTTTCTTCTTTAAGAAGTTTAAATTTCTGTAAAAGAAAAACAATACTGTTTGATATCCTTTTCGTAAGAGTGTGTATTTGCTCCAATCAAGAAAAGAAACACATTAATTCTGTATATCTTGGTCTTACAATTATGATACCAGATCATTGATTAGGTTGTAAAAATATTAAAACACTTTCTCTTCCTAGCTTAATATAGATAGCAAGTTGAAACGAAGGTGGTGCCTTTTGACGAAGGCTATTCCGCGTGGAAAGAAGACAAAAACACAAACACACGAAAAGCCGTCATGCATAATGAGAGGGTTAACAAATTCAGCTATTTCAAAACGTCCTTCCGCGAGTTTAATGTCTCACCTAACACAGGAAGGCATGTGACCCCACAGGTTGACCACTCGGACCACTCTGTCACGTGACAGTCTACTGGACACTCCACGACACAAGACTGGGAGTTCTTGGGCTTGATTCGCTGGACACATCTGGAAGAAAGAGGACTCATTGATTATAGGCTTCTCTGTGCTCTCGTAATTTTTGGATATTTTACGCCCCCAACGACGCAATTTAGAGAACACAGGTGACTGGCTTGCTTTTACCCTGACTGTCCCAGCAGAAAGACAGAGATATCTTATTAAAATTCTCCCCACTGAGGAATCTAATTCACATGTTCTGTGTGTAAACGCGAAGCACCTATCATTGCTACACCATAGACGGCAGTTTTGATCACGATTTAAAAAAAAACAACTAAGACAGAAAATAATGAGCATCTGCTTTTGTCGCATCATGCTTTTCTCTGATCTTTCATAACTACCTCCTCCTCCTCCTCCTCCTCCTCCTCCTCCTCCTCCTCCTCCTCCTCCTTTTCCTTCTTCTTCTTCTTCTTCTTCTTCTTCTTCTTCTTCTTCTTCTTCTTCTTCTTCTTCTTCTTCTTCTTCTTCTTTCTTCTTCTTCTTCTTCTTCTTCTTCTTCTTCTTCTTCTTCTTCTTCTTCTTCTTCTTCTTCTTCTTCTTCTTCTTCTTCTGCTTCTCGTCCTCCTCCAATATTCATAGACCCCACCCACCTTTCATCCACGGAAGGCACGCCCTGGGCTGTGCGACAACTGACAGTCCTCGTCTGTGTGCCCATGCCACACGGTGAGCCGGGCGTGTAAGAGTCAAGAGTACACGCCCCCCACACAGACGTCTCCCACTGGTAGACCTCGCAGTCTCGCAGCACAGGGCAAGGCTCTGACTCGTGCAGCGATTGGATAGGAGGACATGGACGACCGTTTCTCCCTAGATCGGAATAAAAGATGAATACGAATCAAAATTTTGAGGTAGTCCGGTTTTATTACAATCAGCAACAAAATGCGCAGGGTATTATTGACCGACACGTAAATGGATTAAAATCAGGGGCGGCTCGTGGGTCTAAAAAATGGGCGTACACAATTAAGCTATCCTAGGGTGAAGATAATCAAGGGCAGAGTAAATAAGATGGAGTATAATTTTAGGATCTTTGGGTTGGTGAAGGAAGACCTTGTGCTTTTAGTTTCATTCTTTTTACTTGTGGTTTTGACTTCTAGAACTAAATCAGTTTGTTAGCTAAACGTTAATTTCATTCATCCTGCATTAAAACTGAACACTCAAGTAATACCTTTCATCACTCCACAACAAAACCGTTCAAAAGCACAACTCATATGATGACGACTTAAGTATGTCACGTTCACTTCCCTCAGGTTCACGGTCACAGAGTCACTTAAAATAGCGACAAGACAATGAACCAATCACAATTCACTTGAGCACTCCGTTGGATTGCTCCGGGGCCCACATAATTTTGGCATGGAATAGTGCACAATCTATGGCGTTATTTTTAGATTGCCTACTGTGGGCTATGTTTCGGCGCTATTCGGCAGGAGCACATTTGAGATGTGCCGTCTTATTAATAGTAGTGTACCGTCAAACTCTCTACAAGTTTCGTCATCACTTGGGTTATCCCAAAGAGCGATTTATAGGTCAAGTTTCCACTGTTGACTATCCTGTTATGTTTAGATACAGTGCATGAACTTAGGCATGGTATAGTAGATGTTTTACAGCGCTATAGAATAGAAATGACAGGTACGGCGCCAGCAAGGGCCTTGCTTTGATATAATATTTGGCTAGTGTTTGTTTCTGGCGTCTTTTATTTTATTATTGTGGGTGCTTTACGTCATAGAACATTAAAACATTTTGGGCGGCACTACACGACCGTGCTCTATGGACGAATCGCGACTGATTAAAATTGATACGCTTCTCAAGAAAATAGCTAAACACTATTTAGCATGATTTAATCCAAAGTTCAAATTCGCTGGTTTCAAGATAAAAAGAAATTTCAACACAGTGGGCTTTTATAAATACATAACAACTAAAGAAGAAGAAAAAATAAAGGATAGAAATCTGAAATGAACACCAGCAGCTAATTATTACGCCTTTATTCAAGGTCTTACCGTGATAGGCCAAAATTTGCCGCTTCCTATTTCTCAAAGTCCTCGCTCCGATCTGCATACCACAGGGGGCGGGGCAAGCGCTCCAGGAGCCCCAATCAGAGAGCACACAGTCTTCGGGGCAAGGCACGTAACACTCCACCCACTTGTCCTCTGAACTTTGGGTAGCGTAGCAGAAGCGTTCTCGTACTTTGACCTGTATTGGAGAGAAGGGAATATTTTTGGTTTTGTAAGGTTAAGGGAGATAGATAGAGAGATAGAGAAAGAGACATACACAGATTGAGCGAGAGAGAGAGAGAGAGAGAGAGAGAGAGAGAGAAAGAGAGAGAGAGAGAGAGAGAGAGAGAGAGAGAGAGACAGAGAGAGAGAGAGAGGGGGGGGGCAGACAGACAGACAGAGAGGGAGGAAGAGATATACGCATAGAGAGGAAACATAAGAGAGCAATGGATAGAGAGTACTCTTAGGGCGGTATTTGGTATTTCACACGCCATTATAAAACTCTTACTATGTCGTACTCATCAGTTTTCTGACAACCTATTAATAACCAGATTGTTATACTACTCGGCGCTGTGTTAGCTAAGTTGGTACTTTGCTGGAATACCATGCGGATGGCTTTGGTTCTTAAGAATGTCCAAGCAGAACCTCAGCTTCTTTGACTAAGATAAATAGATCCATTGGAGATATATGTTAAATTAGGAGGCTTCGCCTCTTAAAGTAGTTAAAGGTGTATAACATCCTATTGACCACTAGATCAAGAAAAGAAGATGGCAATGGCCTTTATATACACTTGTCCACAACTTGACGAGATAAAGCCTAAGACGGAACATCCAAGGGAATCAAAGGAGAGAAAGCTAAAAGCCACCTTGAAACACGATCTAGAGGCAGATCTCAGGAATATGGGGCCCAGCATGCTGGAGGTGGAAAAGATCGCCCAAAATTGAGACAGGTTGAGAGCCCTTCTTAGCCTCCTATACCCAATA